CTGTGTTAACCAACCCATTTTAAAGCAGCTTGTCTCCGCAAATAAGGTGTCTCACCTCTTCACGATCTCGACAGTCCTGTTCCGTCGTATGGAGGGCTTGCACCCTCCTGCCTCCAATTTATTGTATCTCGTCTCATATTTGCCCTTTATTCACCACATCCATGCAAACAAACCTGGGAGATGGGGTTACCTCGTCTTGTAACCTGTGCCTACAGTTTTTGTTCAGCAGGTCGCATCGTGATGTTTGAACGTGGCCCTCCCATGCAATTCGGCAGCAAACCCAGCTGGATGGAAGGTTAGCAGATGCAACCTGCTGTATGCGCACGTTCTCTGGACCCGCTTGATGCATTTGCCTGTTCCACTGGCGGCTTCAAGTGAGGAGGCGCTCCGTAATCATATGCCAATGGAGCCCCTGCGACTCAGGTAGAAGCGCGTGGTCAGGACCGCAGCATTAGATGCAGATAGGTCTAGAAGCTGGACGCGGTTATCGCCTGCAAGTCAGGAGGGGCGGTCGCGTGACAGGACCCATCTGGTTTGAGGTATGGATAAATCCAGTCTGTGTGGGGGAGAAGCTACCGAATGCCATAGACTGACGCAGTCGAGGTACTGGCGAAGAGAAAGGTGGACAACGGAGCTAGTGTGAACGGACATATGACGGAAATAAGGTTGCAAGTCGCCGTCCGGTTTCGCCGAGTGTTGTATTGGTGACGCATTATCCGCTTACGAGCTTGGCGCGGGCCGTTTGGGATGCATGCAGTGGAACCGACCCGGTAAATGTTACGGCCCAGTCCACTCGCAAATTACTCCTCCCATGGCCACCCCTCAGGACATCCAGAACCACCTCTACAACGCCTTCCTCAATCGCGCAACGACGGACGTTACGATTCGTGTACGTGCAAAGGACTGGTCAGTCGCATATGACCTCCACCGCGTTGTCCTCATCCAGTCCGTGAGTCCTCGTCGTTGTGGTGCGTGGCCTGCTCAAGGCCAGTCTCGACTGAAATCTCTCGATCTCTCAGGGTTTCTTTCGGTCTCTATTTACGCATGGCTTTCGCGAGTCTTCCCGGCACTCATCGGACGGCACAGATGTAATACCTATCCAATTCGACGATCCCAACATCACTCGAGCTGGTATGTACTCCAACCCTCTGCCTTGATCCATTGTTTTGATGACCTTGGCAACGTTTGTCAGCATTTGAGTACGTCATTTGGACGTTTCGTTTTGGTTCGGTATTGATCATGTTATGCTCCACAGGATCTGCATCGCGCAACTGTACGGCGGGGGACCCTCTCTTCACGTCCCCCCCTCTCTCGTGCCGACTACTTCTCAGCCCCTAACCCCATCTTATCTCTCGACCTCACCCTACATACCACCTCCCTCAGGCCATCATCCCGCCACTCCGAGATTTCTCCTCTCTTTAATCGCCACCTCCGTCTACCTCTCGATCCCAGCCGTCACGTCTAACGCCCTTTCACTAGTCCTCTCCACTATCGGCCCCACTACCGTCATCCGGTATCTAAATTTTGCCCTGGGAAATGGTATCGGGGGGACGGCGCCCGGCGATTTAGACTCAGCAATTGGCCTCGAGAACGTTGGGCGAGACCTTCCTGATGACGCGAATCTCACTGCGCAGCTAGAAGCCTCTGAGCGACTTTCTGTGTCTGAGACAACAGATGACGCCGAAGCGACCAGTTCCTCTGGAGGAGCCGAGACAGACGAAGCTTCATCTCAAAAACACGGATGCGCGGGTGCAGATGACGTGCCTTCGGGTGCAACAGAACGGCGGATCCCGCTTGAACCATTTATCAAGAGCGATATACCTCCACTCTTCAACTATGGCATCGTCAGCAATAAGATTGGCGAAGCGTGTGCTTGTTGGCTCGCTCGTTGGGCCACTGACATTTTTCCCTACGAAGAAGACTACCATTATTCCCTCACCGAGAAGGGGAAATCCACCGCTGATGCTCGCCCCGGTCCAGTCACCACTTTCCTCTTGACCCATACCAAAACCCCAGCTCGTCCGTCTAGCTCGTCTGCACAGCCCGATCCATCATCCTTTGCAACACATGCTCGGAGGGCAACCATCTCCAGCGTTTCAGTCGATCCTACGATAAACGACTCTACTGCAACACTCGCTTCTTCGGTCCACAGCCAACTGCTTGGTCCGAATTCTAGACCGCCAGCCATTTGGTCGAGGAGTGGTGGCCTTCCGGCGCGGTGGGTCCGAGGTCTTTTCTCAAGCGACGATTTATTCATCAAAGGCGGTGAACGTGAACGATATGACTTTGCGACCCGTGTTGTGGAGCTGAGACGAAGGGAGGCTAAAGCTTCTGCTTTGATGCACAGTGGTGAGACGGAGTGGGCGTCTGGTCTAGACGAAGAAGAAGAGAAGGAATGGGAAGAGCTCTTCGCAACAGGCTTTTATTTCTCGCACATGGTGAGCCCAATCCTAATGGCTTCCTAGAACCAGCTTGCTGACATCGAGTGTTCCCGTCAGTCCTTTGACGACCTCCTTCACATTCAAAATGACGTCTCACCCACTACCGGCAAACCTTTTGTCCCTTTATCCGCTCTTCAATCTGCTCACTGGAACCAGTCTGTATTTCGGAGTCACATTATGTCCATGCCATCCGTTGGCTCGCCGCGATCCGGGTCACCAAATTTGCAAGGTTCTTCACAGAGTCCGGCAAAGAACAAATCTGCAGAAGCGTCACCCACCTCCTCCGGCTGGCAGGATACCATCGTACCTACGTTGACCACTGACGATATTGTCGACTCGATGGTCTCTCGACCGGACGCTCCCTCGCAGACGAAAAGGTCCTATTTTCCTGTCCTTGTCGACGGTTCGCACAGGTTTGGCGGGGATATTCCGAAGGACGCCATGGATAGCCTTGCCCAAGAAGCGGTGGGGAGCACGACAGACTTGAACCGATCGACCACACGGAAGAGTTTACAACCAACGAAACACCTTGATGAGCGCAACTTCTTTGGGCTCGCTCTGAATGGGCGGAGGACGGCGGAAGACATTGTTGCCGAGATGGACGAAGGGAGGGTTAATCGGTGGACCGAGACTGAACCTTGCCGGTATGTCGTGTTGGGTTATTGTCGTAAAACATCGTTTGACCGGCTTTTCAGCTTCTCCGTTGAATTCTGGGGTGTTGAATCTTTGAAACCTTCTCATCGTCTGTACAGCAACACTGTATGGTGCATGGGCTCACTCTGGAACGTGTACGTGCAAATCGTGCGTAAGAAAGGGCTGCAACTTGGGGTATATTTACAACGGCAGTCGTTTGTGGATTCCATCCCGCCGCACTCCGTGCCTTACCTCCCAGGTGTCAGGGGCAACCGCACCGACACACCAACACAAGCCACGGCGGGGATGGTGGCACTGCATCCTTCGGTCTCGATGCCAACTTTTTCTGGAGGCCACGGAGCCGACCGCCCTCATACCCCTGTGCCACCTCCATCCAATGCAAGCCCGCGAAGCAGACCATGGGCGATTCCTTATCACACACACTCAACGACCGCATTCCCGTTAGTACGGTCCTTACCGAATCATGCAGGTTCCCCGACCCCTACTCCCATGGCTGGGACTTCTGTCCCTACCTCGTCACCGATGAACCCCATCTCTTCTCAAAGTCAACAATCGCAACAACCTTTGACATGTCCTTCTACTGCTCCTAACAGTCCCTATCGCGACCCCCGCCAATCTATCCGAGCGTACTTTTCGATTTCGTGCCCATCTGCCACGGGTGCTTCATCTACCAAGTTTTGCTCAGCTCCCGATTTTTTCAACGTCACGCAAAGTTGGGGATGGAAGAGCTCCAAGGCTGAGGAGTGGGTGGATTTCGAAGCCGTTGAAGCTGCGAACTCGTCAGCGACTGGCGCCACGTCAGTAAGTCAGGGATCTGCAATTGTCAAGTCAGAGCCAAAGATGGAGTGCAGCTTGCGAGCGACCATCGTTCTCGGGGTTGTCTGAGTGATGATTGGTGTTAACGTTGTGGACTTTGTATACCACTCTCTTCATGTATCATACCCTCTCTCATTTCTTTCGTTTCGTTTCCTAATTCTCGTCACATTCACGATATACCCACACTCCCCTTCATACTGAGTTTTCTTTCTGTTTTACGTTCGTATCCTTCTCGCTTCTCGACACCCCAACACGATTTGATTTTACGGATACCTATGGTGGGATCTTGAGGGCAATCGTGTTGTCGAGCGATCACGTGGTTACGAAAGCTTGGACTATAACGCCATGCCGGGCGATATGTAGACATTGCATGTCCTTGACAATACCATCGTCTAGTCGGTGCTTTCATTGGTGAAGGGTTGCTCGGGGGAGGACGATCTTAACATGATCATTGAACCACGGTATTATTTCTTGTAACCACGCGGGCTTCGATTGACAATCACTGACCAACCAACCAACCCATCCATCCACCAGACCAGGTTTCCGCTACTACCGCTACTTCGACGACTTCGCGATGGTCACCACTACTGCCTCAAAGCCCTCGAAAATATGGACGATGAATAGCAGGGAAGGGTGCGTATGATGTTGATTTCAATCTGTTTTCTCCCGTTTCCTTTGCCCAAACTATACTCGAAGATACAGGTGGGCAACCCGGTGAACATTCACCCGGTCACACTAATTAAACCACTTGCTAACATTGTCGGCACTCCCCCGGTTAAATGTATGTTTTCTTAGTGATTTTCACCGAAATTTCGACGGGTGGTGGTTCACCAGGCCCGCCGGTGAATCTGTTGTACAACCGGTGATTTTAACCCATGTTCATAGTCAATACTACCGTCCACTCCATTGAAAATGACTAGGCAGAGGGTGCAGTGCAACAAATTTTAAGCTTGGCCCCGACGTCCCCAGAATGTATGTGTCCCATTGTTGGGTGATTGTATTTTATCCAACGTGCTATGCTCGTTGATTTAGAGGGTTTAGAAGGGCGGAAGAGTGTCTGGGATCATAAGACTGCCGCTTTGGCCAGAAGCCCTTGTAGCTCAGTGGTAGAGCGCAGCACTCGTATGACTTTCGGGTTCGACATGCTGAGGTCCATAGTTCAATCCTGTGCGGGGGCACACCCTTTTTGATAATTTGTGCCATACTTTTAGATCTTGGCCGATACCTTCCCTCCTCGCGACGAAGTCAAGCTCGGCTGTGGTGAGCCCTAATAGGTTATGATAAGCTGGTGAATACCCGCGTTAGCCGTCGAGACTGAGTGGAGACACCGGTGAATTCGGGAAGCTTGACTCAAATCGAGGAACGAAGGACGTGCTAATGCAATGTGGGGTCCAACGTCTACTTGTATACGATCTGAGGTACGAACTGAATGGAAAGTCATCGGAGTCGCATATCCTAACCGGGTCTTGTCGGCCAGAAAGACACCAAAATTGCGCAACCTACAACGAGGGGCAAGGTAGTGGTGAGATATGTATATCGAGATCGTCAAAACAACCATGCGCATATCAGGACAAATTAAAGCTTCAAATGGACCGCGTCCTTCGGTTCGCTCTTCTTCCCACTCTTGTTCTTCGCCATATGCGGTTTCCCCACTACCGTCACGCCCTTCCCACTCTTGACCAGGCTCTCCAACGCCAGGTCCTTCGCCTCCTTTGCATTCTTTGGACGCTTCTGGGCATCTCTGAGCAACCCTGCCGCAGCATTCGCGCTCGCGGACTTGTGCCCGCTTTCGGCGAACTTTACCACCGCGCCTCCTAGGACTTCCTTCTTCCGTTTCTTCGCATGTTTGACTTTGGTATGCAAAGACTTCTTTTCCGAGGGCGTCATTTCGTTCTTTGATTTCGCTGCTCGGGGATCGTGAGCGAAGACTTCTTCGGGGGCAAGAAGCGTGGCTGTCGAAACGGATGTCGGGAGGGCGTTCTCGAGAGTTGTAGAAGCAACATTGGCGATCGTGGATATGACGGACTTTGGCTGTTAGTATAAGCTACGTGAGTAGGTGGCCAGGCGCGTTGAATACGGATTCACGAACCTGCTTCGGCGTAAAGTGTGCATTACTCAATGCATCAAGTTTGTAGCATATATCATTCCACATTGTATCCAATTCCGCGTGTTCCGCTGCTAGTTTGGCGTCACGACTATCGGGTCTAACTTCTCCCGAGGCTGCGTTGTAGTCATCTTCGTATATCTGTGCCAGGGATTTCCTTGATTGGGTATCCTGCAGTTCGACAATGCTGGAGGGCAAGAACGCCTTCGCGTCTACCTCGCTTTGACGGACAACATCGTCAAAGCGACCCTACATTGTAAGTGAGCGAATGACGAGGACGGGAGGACCAAAGACACACCTCTAAGATTCGGCCTTTGATCATGTCTTCTAGGCTCTTTGCCACCTCCTCGGTAATTATAGGAACAGGTTTCGAGCCGTGCTCAAACTCGAGGTCCGTTTCTAACAAACTATTCTCCGGGCGGTGCTTGGCATTAGCCTCTCCTGCCATCGTCCAATGTTTCTCGGCTATATTTTCATCCTCTAGAATGGCAATCTCTTGGGAAATGGCTGCCATACGCCTCTCGTGAGACGAGAGTTCCTCAGCTGGAAATGACCGATATTCAGCTTTGACTTGTAGAGTGGGTAAATATACGCACGGAAGGCTTCATCCGGAAGTGGTTCGGAGAGAATGTCGTCCTTCACTCGTTCGATAGCCTCCTGTCCCTCCGTGTTTTCTTCCACGTCTTCGTCTACGTCTTCTCCACTTTCACCTTCCTCCTCATCCTCATCCCAGCTTTTGCCTTGTAGAGCGTCGTCATCGCTCCCATCGTCCATCGAACCGGAATAATCACTCTCATCCTCATCCTCCACCTCACCTCCTGCTCCACTAGCCTCGCCTGGACCTGAAGGGTCAAGGACGGACTGTCGAGGTGCAAACCCTCCAAAACCGCCAGGCCCAGTGCTCATGAATGGGATGCCTCCGAGGGGTCCAAGAGTTTCATTGAGACTTCGACCTTTACCCCGCGGTTTGATCTTTTTGACGCGGACACTCTCGTCAAATCGCACAGAAAGGTCCGATTTTGACTTCCACCCCTGGTCTCGCCTTTTCCCTCTGGCTGCTCCTCGATCGAGCATCTCACCTCTAGGCGCAGGAGTACCAGGGAAACGATACGGAGGCCTGAAGAAATCATCGAACATGACACCTGAGCGGTTTGCCTATCAGCAGAGAAAAGGGGAGGAAGGGAACAGACGTACGGTCCACGCCCTCTGTTCCGAATACGGCTGCCACGCTGGGCCCACTCTCACCCTCGTCGGAGTCATCTTCACTGCCGGATTGTCCGTGATCGTGATCGTGATTGTCGACCTCCATCCCATTTAACGGAGCATATAGGTCGATATCATCGCCCTCTTCATCGTCCTCTTCATCGTCATCGTCTTCTTCGCTCAGTCGACCCCGAGACTTTGAATGCGCTTCCAACAGTTCTGTTTCGCGGTTAAACCGATCGATCGAAAAGAAACCATCGTCGAGGACCGGGTGTCGGGTTCCTGTCCAAACAGGTAGATTCTCGTCGTCTCGCAACTTCACGACGTGTTCGGAAATTTCCTCCTCGACGTCCTCGTCGCTCTCCTCGTCATCTTCACCTTCACCATCATCATCTTCTCCATTTTCCGTGTCAAAATCTGCCTCCTCCTCGTCGACATCCATCCGGTCAAAGCCGTCGGGCAGATCCTCGTCTCCATCGTCGAGAGCCTCAGAATTGCCATCATCGTCGTCATCGTTGTCTCCTAACTCTCCTCCAATTACAGACTCGAGTACGGCACAAATCTATCGCGAACAAGGGGTGAATATGTCGGGCTAGTTGCAAGGTTGCAGCACGCACATTCTTGGTTCGCAATTCCAACTGTTCCCAAACCTGATCTGGGCCCATGCCGTTCAAATGAAGGGCTTCAATCGGTGTCTTTTGGAGCTGTAACGGCTCTGTGGCTGCTTGTGGTTCCTGAAGGAGTTTTGCCGCGGCGGAGCGAGTTATTGGACCGCGAGGCACCTCAATGGACTTCAGTAATTCATTGATGTAAAGATTGGCAGTGGATTCCGAGCTAACAGCTGAGCAGTTTCAGAAGATCAAATGCTGCCCTCCACACCTCTGTCGCGTGCTGACCTTTGTCGAATAGCCACTTTGTCGCGTTTAATGCAGCAGCTTGTATGTCCGCATCCCCCGTAAGAAACGATTCTGGTCGCGATTCCACATGTCTTGATAGTTCTAGGAGTTCACTAGGTAACTCCACCGGCTCGGGTTCAGGTGAACGAGACCTAGACGACATGGAAGGAGTCCGGAATGAAATTTCCTTTTGTTTGGTTTCGCGTCGATGTTTGGGCGCTTAAGGTGTTGGACTTTTGACTGACGTTCTACACTCGCTTCTTGCTCTCCTTTGACTTCTATACTAATCGAAGAAGGGACCCTCACATGACGACCTATTTGTATACAACTCTAATGTATATCCTCACTTCTAGAACCAGTATGGGACTGGCATGAAGAGCCGAGGATCATCCTCGCAGTCTGGTGATCTTTCGGGCCGACTGCTTGAAATAGCAAGTGATGTCACCGGGGATGGCCCTTACTCAGGCAGAGCTTCAAACGTATACGGGCTATCCCCGACACGGAATCCGTGTTCCCATAACAAGTTCGGCTCGAGGAAAGTGGCCCTCGGCTATTGAGTTGCCGACGCCTGAACAGCTCCGCAGAACTGTCTCCCCCTTTCCTCCAGCAGAGCATTTAAACTCCACCCCGACGTACTCTGGTCAATACTACATACCTACCCTCTTCCACTTCAATATGGCCTCGGCTCATCCTTTTCCCGCCCCTCCAGCTGTTCCATCGACTTCGGTGTTCAAAAATGATATATTCAAGGGCAAGGTTCTCTTCTGCACAGGCGGAGGAAGTGGTATTTGTAAGGCCATGACAGAAGCTATCGTCAGTATATATGGTTACCATATGCTCTCGCGTGTTATTTATGGACTCGTTGTTTTCCATGCTGGAGTAGATGAAGCATGGGGCTTCGGCAACTATCGTCGGGCGAAAGTCAGTAAACTCTGTCTTCTGTGGTCATAATGGTTGTCCTGACTAGCCCATTGCTTCGGTTCATAGGCTGGACCGTTTGGAAGCCGCAACTAAAGAACTCACCACCGCTACCGGGCAGCGTTGCATCGCCGCCCAAGCAGATGTTCGAAAACCAGAACAACTACATGCTGCTGTTCAAAAGACCATCGAAGCATTTGGTCGTATCGATTTTGTTATTTGCGGCGCTGCTGGCAACTTTTTGGCTCCGATAAGTGGCCTATCCGAGAATGCGTTTAGGACCGTTATTGAAATCGATACGGTATGCCAAACGCGCTCCTTTTAGAATTCCTCGCCCCGCTTAGCTGCATCTCCTCTTAAGCTTGGAACGTATAATACAGTCAAGGCTACGCTTCCGCACGTGAGGTCTAGCCATGGCGCGTACATCCACGTCAGCGCCACTCTGCACTATTCGGGTGCGTCGCCCAGTAAACTTCTTTTGTGCTTTTGTCAACCCTATATTGCTCATAGGGACACCCTACCAAGCTCATGTTTCTGCGGCAAAGGCAGGGGTTGATGCCTTGTCGAACGTCATCGCCGTGGAAGAAGGTCCTCGAGGGGTTCGCAGCAACATCATAGCACCTGGTCCCATTGGTGACACCGAGGGGATGGAGAGACTTAGTGCTCAGCATGCTGATGCCATGAATCAGACCATATCTATCATCCCTCTCCAGCGCATGGGTGAAAAACAGGATTGTGCGAATATGGCCGTTTTCCTGTTCAGCGAAGCCGCTAATTGGATAACTGGCCAAATCCTGGTAAGTGGATCCATTGTGCGGAAGTGTCGGTCCTGAAGCTTGATAAACTTTACTAGGTCGTAGATGGCGGCAGTGAGCACCTTAGACCCCCACAATTGCCTTACCCCTCCAGTGTGCTGGATCCTGAGGGAACTAAGAGCATTATAAAAGGAAAACTATAATTGACACGATATAGTTTCCTGGTCGGTTGTAGCAGAGTGGGGCAGATAAATTCGGGATACTGCTAACATAAATAACTACCTTCGTGTTACAAGATTGTG